AAATGGCATTGAATAAGTAAACAAATCAATGACAAGGAACTAATTGTATATTTCTCTTCATCATCAACAAATAAGATGCTTCATCCAGCAACAGGGTGTCCGTGACACGGTTTAAATGCTGGCAGAGGACGCTGCGGCTGCAGCATATAGTGACTCGTTGCATTCTCCCTCAACCAAAAGTCCTCACGTCATGCATTTAAGCTAAAATGCTAATGTTAACTTACCTTGCACTGGCTGTAGAGACGTGGGTGATGGTCACGCAGATGTGCCATTAGATTCAAAGTGTTGCTGCCTTTTGCAGACACTTGTTTCCTGCACGTTCTGCAAACGGGATAGCCGTCTTCTATTAACTGTCCCTCAGCGTTTTTCAGAAATCCAAAATATGACCATACTTCCGATTTAGTCTTCTTTGAGGGCTGATGGATGTCCTGGGCGTTGCCGTCTCCTCCTTCGGCCATTATTTCAGCTTCAAAGTTTTGGTGCCGTTGCAAATTAAAAAGTGCGTGTGCGCGCCGCGGGAACTTCAGCTGAAGCGACGGTGGCTGGTAAGGGTCATCGCGCCGAAACCGCGGCCACGGTAAACCCACCGAGATAATATAGTTTTTTAAAAACTGGACGGTTATTTTTATTGTCAACTTTTTTACCGGGGTTTACCGCTATACCGGTTACCGTGACAACCCTATAGGAGATTGCTTTGAAGGAGCTCAGGGTGCACTGAAGATGAAGCAGATAGAGGAGGAAGAGCAGAGGCCCCAGCACAGAACCTTGTGGGACACCATGGGTAAGAGAGGTGGTGGAGGACCTAAACTTGGAGACAGCCACAGAAAAGGAGCGCTCAGAGAGATAAGAGGAGAAACACTTCAGAGCAGTTCCTGACAGGCCTACCCAGTCTCTCAGCCTCTCCAGTAGCAGGTGATGGTCAACAATGTCAAAGGCTGCAGTCAGGTCCAGCAGGACCAGAACAGAACAGTCCCCTGCATCACTGTGAGTCATTAGAACGTTAGAGACCCTAAGAAGAGCTGTTTCAGTAGAATGAGCTCTAGGAAAACCTGACTGGAAGCTATCATAGATGTTCTGTTCATCAAGAGCAGCTGTGAGTTTTTTAGCCACGACCTTTTCCAAGATCTTGGAGATGAACGGAAGTTTAGAGATGAAGCCTCTCCATAGTGCCCTGCAATGGTGACTAGCAAGGCTAAGGAAGAGATTAAAGGGAACACAAACCCAGGACTCCAACCCAAACTCCTGACAGCAACACAGCGACTCCTCCAACAGGCGGTTGTTTCACGGGAGTACAGTCACACGCAGCTGCCCGAAGTTCAGCATCAGGCAACCTGTAGACGATGCAATCATACGTGGCTTCTGAGCGTGCAAGTTTACTCTAGCTGTACAGCGTACAATAATAATAAAGATTGATATTCAGTTGTGTTGCTCACCTTACAGGTTCTTTTAAAATCTTAACCTGTGCCTGCTTACAGCAGGTCTTTTGAACTAGACACAGAGATGTTCAGGCGCAGGTACTTAGTCAGACTCCTGATATGGTAGAGCAACCACCACCACAGACTCGAACAATAGGTCCATATGCTTGACATCTGGAAACAAAGGAAAAAGATTACCATTACTACAAATATTTATCCATAACCATCACTGTGGGTTTATTATACAGCATATGAAACACATGAGATGGGATTGGTCTGCAGTAGGAATGTGTATTTTTGACTGAATTTATTGTAGGAATATTCAATAAACAGTCCAAACTGATACTTAACATGTTTAACATGAGTTATCTGAACCATAATAGCGGGATTTAAATTTCAATGGTGGAAACAAAACCCAATGCACACTGCTGCCACCTAGCGGTCGACATTTAAAGTGCACCAAAAACAAAGAAAATACACAAATGTTTGCATGTAAATTCTTTCAAAAATTAGATACACTGCTTTTGAAAATGGATGTAATATCTCAGGAAAACATATCACGATGTATTGCCATATCAATATTTTAGAGACACAGTTTGAGATACAATATCACTGGAAAAATATATCGCGATATATTGCCATACTGATATTTTCTTACATCCCTAGTCTGCAGTGTACTTTGTGTACACTATGGTGTGTCTTAGCTCACCAGCTGCAGTTGATGCATGTGGCTGTGTAGCACTTCTACTGTAATGCAATGTAGTAGTTTTCAATCTAAAAAGAAAGAAAAAAAAACAAAAGAAATAGCTTTTAGACAAAAATATAGATTTTATGGAAAAATTAAATAATTAAAAGCATGTATTTAACTCATTATCAATTATCTGTCCTGGATAACATTCTTTTGATGGAGAATACAGAACACGTGACAGAAATGTCATGGTCTGCATCTGCCCCTTCCTTCATGTGCCTCCTGGTGTTCTCCATCCCTCTCTAGATTCCCTTTTGTGTCTCATAGCGCCCTCATGTGTCATGTCTGCGTCTCCCCCATGTGTCTCCATTTTTTGCAGCTTTCTAGATATCTCTCTCAGGTCCTGTGTCCCTTTAGTCTTCCCCAGTCACCCCTCTGCAGTTTTTATAGTTACAGCTGTTCATTCTTTTAGTCTCTTTAGTATGTTTTTTCCCACCGGTCTTTGTAGTTCCTTCCCTTTAGAATTTTAGTTATATGTTGCTTTCCTGTTTATAGGTTTACTCTTAGGTCATGTTAATTTCTTCCCTGATTAGTCATTGCTTTCACCTGGTCCTTCCCCAACACCCCACACACCTGCAGCTCATCTGCCTCCCATTATGCCCCAGTGTATTTAAGCCCTGTCTTGTCGGTCTATTGTTGCTGTTTGTGGTAATTCTGTCAGTCTCTCGTTCCTAGTCTCTAGTGTTTCTCGTGTCTCAGTTGGATCTCTAGTTTATTTTGGATTTTGGACATTTTTGGACTTTGGCTCCCTGGATTCATTCTGCGTTTCATCCTTCAAAAATAAAGGATTTTACTTTACATCATCTCCTGCCTCGTGTCATCCTGGGTTTCTGCATATTTGGGTCCTAAACATCCCCGAAACGTGACAAGAAAGCACATTGAATCTGATTTGTCCTGTTCTGACAGACAAATGTCAGATCTGTATACTAGTAAGAAATTTATTATCAAACATACTCACTTAGACAATTATTCAGAGTTACATCCTATAATCAATTTGTTTGACTGAAAAAGGAGCAGGCAGAACTATGAACTTGTTTAGCCCGTCCACGTAACATGGAATAAAAAATACATGTATCTGTATGTAAATGTTGTTTAAATGTCTTCCCACAATAGCTTATGTAGATTCTGTACGAGTTACACCATAAAAATCCTGCAGTTCCACTAAAAGAGTATTTACCTGCAAAACAGCCTGTTAGCTCAGCTTTCTGCTGCTTCCTCGGTAGCAAGTTAGCTGTACACGCGTTAGTTCCAGTAGTTGTAAAGTCTCTGATGTTACACAGATTCCTGAAAAATTAGCAAACTTATTAACATAAACTGTAATAATTAATTCCATGAAACCAGTAATGAATATGTTAAGATGAGTTTTTAATAAGTCTCTGGAACAATAGACCATTGTCCTGAGGCTAGCTTAGCAGCTAGCTAGTAAGCTAAAGTCTGGTTAAAACCAACCTAAAAAAGTGGCTTAACTTACAGATTAACTAAGAAAAGATAAAATATATTATCAATACTCACTTTAGATCCTCAGTAGACACCACAGACAGCAGAAATAACGTGTTTGGGGCTCAAAATTCATGTTGTTGACCAAGGTGGGGAAAAAAAGGTCTTGGAGGATACATCACTTCCGGGTCACTGAACTGTCACTCAAGAGAAACCACTGTCCTATGGGAGAGGACTTCTCAGAAGTCCCACCCGATTGCAAAGGAGAAAGCCAGAAAGTGTAAGTGCAAATCTGGTAGTGAGAGCAAAGCTCTGAGCAGTGAGAATGAAACAAAGGAAACTGATAACAAAAACACATAGAGGCAAACAGAAAAAGGAAACATACTTTGTTACTCATTTTAAGAAGTTGATTCAGATAGTAAGTTTTACTTTTGAAACATGTTTTTTCCTTTAGTCAATATTTTTGTTCTGTCAATTTCTTAATTTTTGTTTGACCGTCAAAGGGTTTTTCTTGATCATTTTAAGATTCTGATTTAGATGTGTTTGATCTCCAAATTGTTTTTCTTGATCCTATTAGCACAAATCTAATCCCATACATTGCACATATCAAACAGGATCAGAAAATAACATTTATTGACCCATGCACCAGAAGAAGTTGGACATGACTTAGAGTCCTCAGAGCACTCTCAAGGATCCACTGATATGAAACACTCTTAGCTGGGTGGGTGACTGATCCTATTATGAGCATCTTGGACCCAAGTCTAAATAGTCCAAAGTTGCAATAACATCACTCCTATTTTTATGTCCCACTTGTTTCCCATTAACTTTGGAATTCTTTTTAGAATTATGACTTTAATTTTTTATGGTCAAGCTCCTCCTTACAGTATATTACTGAACTGTTAGAGCCTGAACTTGCTGTGAGTTCAGCGAGCTTCACACCCTTCTTCCAGGATGAAAGAAGATTAATTAAATGTGACTGATTTTGAGATAACAGCAAACACTGAATTCACCGTATCAAAATAATATCTTATTGTGATCAAACTTGTGATTCACACCTCTAGCATTTAGAGGTAGGGAGATTTTTTTGATTAAATACTAAAACAGCTTGCCATCAGTGGTGAACGTAATAAAAGAAATAGCTTTTAGCAGTTTACATGATGGATAAAAACTCTTTTACTGTATGTACATATGTGCAGGTCGTTTGCCTTTGAACTGTTCATTATTAATTAGGTGGTAAAATTTGTAAAGATGGTTCAAAAGTACAAAGCCTGGTAAAGTTCAAATGTCATCCTCTCCCTCTGGGTTTGTATGTGCTGCAGCTGGTGAAAACTGAAAATAAGGCAGATTTAGGCTAAACTGTCACCGTTAGTTTACCTGCTGTAACACAAACACAGCAGGACAACAGAGAAAATCTATTTATTTTAAAACCATACTTACAGGAAAGAAATTTCTTTGTACAGTCATGTAAAAACAAAACAGTTTTTAAACCCTGTTATTATTATGCAATAATCCTGTAGTATCATGTTTAACACTGTTTTTGTATTTCTTATAGGCATCCTTAACAAAAATTTTAAAAAACTTTCAATTCTGTAAATAAACAACAACACTAATCATTTACTATACAATAATATCTTGTAAACATTATTATTTGTGGTATTCCACTTTAATTTAGTGTATATTTGTCCTACTGTTATTGTTTTGTGTTACACACAAGTATCCTATATACAGCACACATGAGCTCCAACTGATAAAATAAGATTTGACATTTGGAAGAAATACTTTCTCTGATAAATGCCTCCATCTACTCTAAAACATTTCAATAATTCAATGATTGGCACAATAATATGTAATCACTTTTAACAGTCTTAATGTTGTTGAGTCATTTTAGCTTTATAGTAGATAACGGTACACGTCCTTGTTCTTTTGCACCCTGCAGTAATGTTAGAGATGGAAACCAGCCAAACATGTAGCCTGCTATTGCCATGACAACAGCGACTTTATAGGTTGGAGTCTTTTTCTGAGACGGGGAAGTAGCCGTTCATGGCTTTGGTGTTTGGGTCTCCCTCTGGAGCAAAGATGACCAGTAGCTTCTCCTGCTCCCTCTTGGTTTTGGGTAAATCATTCGATGGTGTAATCAGCAACTGAACACGCTGTGATGAAAACATGCGTAAATTACCTTCATCAGACAGTGTTTATCTTTGTGGGTTTGACATATTGCTCCAGAGTTGGGTTTTATTGTTTTGTTGGGTGTCTTTCCTCTGAAACGAAATATAATCTCTTTAAATATAATCTGCATACCTCTCTGAGTGTTCCCTGGGTGGTGCTGAGCTTGTACGCCATCCACAAAGGGATGCAGATCATAGAAGAGAGAGCGAGAAGCCAACCAATTGCGTAACCCCACCACGGGTACACGTACTCATTGTTGTACTTAAGAGGAGTGTATTTAATGAGGGAAAATGCAAAAGTACCCTGAAAAACAAAAGATTGTAAACTGAAGTACAAAAACATCAGTAATTATAAAATATGACAGACTGAATATATACCAAAAACTGAATTAGCTCTTAGAAAAAAATTACACGTCTGCTGTAGATTCAGTTTTAGGTAATTAAACAGTTGATACTCACGATGCATGTGGCTGGGGTGAAGAACAACCAACAGTACTTGATGTAAGGTCCAGGGCGGTAGCCAATCATGTCTTCGATGTTGTCGTAAAAGCGGTCTGCACCTGCAAAAATGCACAGAAAAGACTAATTTTACCATGTTGAACACTAATGACTTGTAGCCAATTACTTTAAAAACGGTAATAGTCCTAAGTGGTAGATCTGTAATGGCAAAAAGATTAACGACAGAAAGTTTGTTGACTTTTTAACAATTTAACATAAAGAAACATAGAATGAATAATAAATATTTTTGCGTCATATTACTGTTTGCCTACCGTAAACCCAGGCAACACAGACCGTCTCAAAGATGGACATGAAGAGAAGACACATGCCACTGGCAGCATAGTAATCAAAGAGCTGGAAGACATACATCCCCCCCTAGAAAGAGACCAGAGGCTGAGATTAACTGTGTGTTGTTTGTTTTAATGTAAAATACTCGTAAGGTTAGTCAAATAACCTAGCAAGTGAACAATTGAAAGACTTTTTATATTCAAATGGCCTTCTCTCAAGTCTGCAATCGGGTTTCAGAAAAAAGCACAGCACCATCACTGCAGCTGTGCTTCACCTTTTATTGTTCTGTCAAAGGCCTTTGACACTGTAGACCAGGGCTATTCGGTTCCAGGCATCGAGGGCAGGTATCCAGCCTGTTTTAATTTTAACCCTGCTTCAACACACCTGATTTCATTCAGCAGGTGATGAACAGGGTTCTACAGAGGCTGATGAGCTGCTGCACAGGTGATTCAACCACTGAATCTAGTGTGTTGGACCAGGGAAACCACTAAAATGTGCTGGATACAGGCCCTCAAGGCTCGAACTTGAAAAGCCCTGCTGTAGACCATGCTGTTATAAAACACAAGTGTCTCTGTTTGGGATTGTCTGAACATGCAATCTCATGATTCACAGACTACTTGAAGGACATAATGTGTTATATGTGATGGGTTGTCCTCTGACTTTTTGAGTGTCCACAAGGGAGTACCACAGGGTTCAGTTTTGGGACCCTTCTTGTTCATTATGTATATTAATGACATAGGACAAAATGTGTCAGATGCTAATATGCATTTTTACACTGATGACACAATCATTTACTGTTTTGGAACATCCTCCACTAAAAATGTTGAATTCTTACAGAAAGCTTTCAATGAAGTCCAACAAACACTTCTGCAGTTAAAATTGGTCCTCAGTGCGGATGAGACTAAACTAATGTTGTTTTCAAACTCTAAAAAAAGACCTCTAAGTATGCCCTCAGTGACCACTCTTGAGGGAAATATCATAGAGGTGGTCCACACATACAAATACCTTGGTATCTGGCTCGAAGACTACCTCTCCTTTAAACCCCATGTAGATAATCTTGTGAAGAAACTCAAACTCAGACTGGGTTTCTTTTTTTGAAATAAACTGTTTTTCTTTTGAGGAAAAAAAACCTCTCCCTGGGCTGCCACCTTACTGTGGTGGAGGGGTTTGAGTGTCTCAATGATCCTAGGAGCTAAGTTGTCTGAGGCTTTCTGTCTCTGGTAGGGTCACCCATGGCAAACAGGTCATAGGTAAGGGATCAGACAAAGAGCAGCCCAAAGGCCTCTTATGATGAATAATATAAATGGAAACCGTGTTCCCTCGCCCGGGGCCCCCCTTTGGAGCAAGGCCTGGAGGTGGGGCACGTTTGCAAGCACCTGGTGGCTGGGCTTTCACCCATGGAGCCCGATCGGGCACAGCCTGAAGAGGAAACGTGGGTCCCCATTCCCATGGGCTCACCACTTGTGGGAGGAGCCAAAGGGGTCGGGTGCAGTGTGTGATGGGTGGTAGTTGAGGACAGGGACCTTGGTGGTCTGATCCTCGGCTATAGAAGCTGGCTCTTGGAACATGGAATATCACCTCTCTGGTGGGGAAGGAGCCTGATTTGGTGTGTGAGGTTGAGAGGTTCCGACTCCGATATAGTCGGACTCACCTCAACGCATGGCTCTGGCTCCAGAACCAGTTTCCTTGAGATGGGTAGGACTTTCTACCACTCTGGAGTTGCTCCCACTGAGAGGCGCAGAGCAGAGATGAGCATACTAGTTGCTCCCCATCTTGGTGCCTGTACATTGGGGTTTATGGCGGTGAATGACAGGGTAGCCTCCCTCTGCCTACGTGTGGGGGGACGGGTTCTGACTGTGGTCTGTGCTTATGCACCAACCTACAGTTCAAACTACCCACCCTTTTTGGAGACCTTGGAGGGGGTGCTGGAGAGCGCTGCAATATCGCGTGGACATCGGGGGCAGTCCCACTGGACTGGCAGACCGGGGTGGTGGTTCCCTTATTTATAAAGGGGAACCGTAGGGTGTGTTCCAACTACAAGGGATCACACTCCTGAGCCTTCCTGGTAAGGTCTACTCAGGGGTTCTGGAGAGGAGGGTCCGTCGAATTGTCGAACCTCAGATTCAGGAGGAGCAATGTGGTTTTCGTCCTGGCCGTGGAACACTGGACCGGCTCTGGGGCAGCAGTAGCTCAGGTGGTAGAGTGGGTTGCCTCATGATCGGAGGGTCATGGGTTCGATTCCAGCTCCCGCCAGGGGTATCCTGCTGTTGTGTCCTTGGGCAAGACACTTCAACCAACTTGCCTGTGTTAGTGGTGGTCAGAGGGGCCGACGGCGCCAAATGGCAGCCTCGCCTCTGTCAGACCTCCCCAGGACAGCTGTGGCTACAAGTAGCTTACCATCACTAGCAGTGTGTGAATGTGAGAGTGTGTGAAAGTGTAACGGGTATTACAATTAAATAATATGAAATAGGTATTGAACTATTGTCTTGACAACTCTGGACCAGTATCAAAAGTTCTAGGTAGGATTATGGAGCCTTGAAAGGATCAGCAGAGAAGGAACCACACAGTGACAGATAAGATATGATTTAAATAGAAACTGTATTGAAAAGGTGTAAAGTTTACAAACCCTGCCTGTCTAAGCCGGCTTCCTACAGTGCACAAACGCACATTAAAGGACTCAAAATAAAACCAAAACCCTCTTTGAGGAAATTCTCCAAAGAGTTTCAATTAAAGAGCTTCCACTCCTGTTGCTCAGTCCACTTCTCTTTGGAAAGAGAAATTAGTTTGTGTGTGTGCGTTTCTGTCCAGTGGATCTAACACTACCCGGGTAGATTTTTTTAAAAGTGTCAGTCTTATCTGTGTCAAGGGATGTAATGATAGTCCTGGGGTTCGCTGAAGATGGATCCCACGGCTGGCCACACCGTACTCTGGTCCGTCTACAGTCACTCTCTTGGAACTGGCTCGCCACTGAACCCACAAGGTTCAGATCTCAAATGATCCGGTCCTGGTCAAAAAACCAATCGGAGCTCGTGGTGAGATAGCTCGCCTGGCTGACGCAGCTTCCCACGGCCGTATTTCACAGAATTCAGATCCAGGATCTTTCAGTTAATCTGGCGGTTGCCTCGTGAGTAACGGCTTTCACAACAGGAAATGCTGACTAACAGGAAGTCATCTCAAGGCATACTCGCCTCCTAGTGGCAGAGAGGGAAATTACACCTCCAACCTTATGCCGCAGCACAAACCACAATTCTGATGTGGGTTACACTCTCCCCTCCTGAACTCTTGCACGTCCCTGTGCATGACAAGGTTCACACAAATGTCTCTTGGGGGTAAAGGCAAGAGTAGAAGCATGTGCTTCACCTTCATTTACCATGTCATTCCACGCATCGGTCAACCCTTGGAAGAAGGACTTTACCACGGTGACAATTGGTTTCCCCAATTCAGTGTAGTCAAGCCTCATCGGTGGTTGGCGATCCCGCTCAGACCTCCTAACATGGGTATCAGTGTCAGCTTGTTCCTCTACTTCACCATCCTCCTCCTGTCCTTCAGTTCTAGGATCATTCATCACATCCTCCAACGCTTCTGGGAGGACAGGGATCTCTTTAGGCTGGTCCTCACTTAAGTCCTTGACCTCATTAAGCAACTCCTCCTCTCCTGAACTGCAATCCAGCAGCATCCTTTGTCCCTCAGATTCAGTGGATGCACTATCATCCACCTTTGCTCCTCCCACAGACTCATGGAGTTCAAGTGCTGGTACGTTTGCAGCAGGAGGTGAGGTCTCACCATCGTCTGGAGTCTGCTCATTGCCACAATGATCTGTTCTGTGGTAAATTGATGTGACCTCAGGCATAACATTGGCACCTTCCAGATCGTCCGTTGACTCGGCAGAGATTGGTGTCAAGTTATGCTTGGCGTGACTGGAACCTAGGTCTCTTGGGGCATTTTGTGTTGCAGCACCCCCAGTCGTCTCTGAGAGTGGTTGTATTTCAAACCAAGTAATGGGAACAATGTCCTCCTCATCTGAAGACTGGTCAAGCTTCGTTGTGCTGCTAGGAGTACTCTGACGTGTCCTATGCTTTCTAGCTCGTTTGGGCTGAGCACACTCCTCCGTTGGTGCAGCAAGAAATCCGCATGGGAGTAGGAGGTCGCGATGCAGCGTGCGCTTGGGACCCTCGTTGTTCTCTGGTCTAACTGTATAGACTGGAAGGTCTCCAGCTTTCTTCACTACCACATGGACTGTGGATTCCCACTTATCAGCGAGCTTGTGCTTTCCTCGAATACGCACATTTCTGACAAGTACTCTGTCGCCAACGCCTAAAGCAGAAGGACTTACTCGCTTATCAAACCGAATCTTATTTTTCTCAGCTACCTTGGCAGCAGTCCTTGTGGCAACTTCGTAGCTCTGCTCAAGACGAGATTTAAGGTCCTGTACGTAATGGGAATGTGACTTGTGTCGCTGTTCTTTCACTGGTAACCCAAATGCGAGGTCAACAGGCAACCTTGGCTGGCGTCCAAACATTAGTTCATATGGTGTGAACCCAGTCACCTCACTCCTGGTACAGTTGTACGCGTGCACCAACGGCTTTACAAAGTCCTTCCAGTGAGATTTTTCTTGACTTCCCAGAGTGCCAAGCATGTCTAATAGAGTGCGGTTGAAGCATTCCACCGGGTTGCCTCTCGGGTGGTATGGTGTTGTTCGCGTTTTACGGATGCCCGCAATCTGACAGAGTTCCTTGATCAACCGCGACTCAAAGTCAGAACCTTGGTCACTGTGCAGCTTCTCTGGGAATCCATAATGGACGATGAAATTGTCCCACAACCACTTTGCAACTGTTCGAGCCTTTTGATTTTGTGTCGGCCCAGCTACAGCATACTTGGTGAAGTGATCAGTGATCACGAGAATGTCCTTTGTGTTGCTTCTGTTTGGTTCAACAGACAAAAAGTCCATGCATACCAATTCGAGTGGTCGTGTAGTCATTATATTCACCAGAGGTGCAGCTCTCTCAGGTAGAGCTTTCCTGCACACACACTGGGTACACGTTCTTATTTTCTTCTCAATGTCTGAAGCCATTCTTGGCCAGTAGAAT